TCAGGCCAAGTGAAGGATATTGTTTGCTAATGTGAGCTCATATGTTTCATGTTACAAAACTGACTTCACATCAGGCCAAGTGAAGGATATTGTTTGCTAATGTGAGCTCATATGTTTCATGTTACAAAACTGACTTCACATCAGGCCATGTGAAGGATTTTGTTTGTTAATGTGAGCTTATATGTTTCATGTTACAAAACTAACTTCACATCAGGCCATGTGAAGGATATTGTTTGTTAATGTGAGCTCATATGTTTCATGTTACAAAACTAACTTCACATCAGGACATGTGAAGGATATTGTTTATTAATGTGAGCTCATATGTTTCATGTTACAAAACTAACTTCACATCAGGACATGTGAAGGATTTTGTTTGTTAATGTGAGCTCATATGTTTCATGTTACAAAACTAACTTCACATCAGGACATGTGAAGGATATTGTTTGTTAATGTAAGCTCATATGTTTCATGTTACAAAACTAACTTCACATCAGGCCATGTGAATGATTTTGTTTGTTAATGTGAGCTCATATGTTTCATGTTACAAAACTAACTTCACATCAGGCCATGTGAATGATTTTGTTTGTTAATGTGAGCTCATATGTTTCATGTTACAAAACTAACTTCACATCAGGACATGTGAAGGATATTGTTTGTTAATGTAAGCTCATGTTTAATTTTACAAAGTACTCGAATGGTATTGCTATATGTTTCAAATTACAAAGTAATTCGTAACTAAGGTTAATTTTTAAATAAAGGAACCATCTTGGATCTTTAAAGCTTGTACACGGTATATGATTAAAAGCTAAATGCATGGAGAACAGTGATTGACATGTTCTAGTTTCTTTCTATTTTATAGATTCTATTTCGAAAGTAGTCCAATACGTAAATGACTAAATTACATTTTACCCACTCTTCATACGTTCTTATTACTTTCTTTGAAATATAAAGATCATTTACGGTGGAAAAAAATTATGTATTACAGTAAAGTAATTATTTATGTAGTCAGCATTTCAAATTTTGTACGAAAGCACAATCAATCCCAATAGTGTGAAACAAAACCCAATGGCTACATACTCTCACTAAACCGAGTATCAAAGGCTATCAAAATTTCCATTTTCTGAGATACCTAGTAATAATCTGATAAAGTTCCGTTTTTAACATTAATATAATATATTAGAATAGTTGAGTTTGCAGTACCGTCTAAAGAAAAAGAGACGAAAAAATTCAGACGATAATGGAACTCTCTGTTAATTAAGATTTGGTTAATTAGTTGTTAAGCATAATGCTACACAATGGCTATCTGGGCTGTGCCCACCACGGGTATTAGAACCTAGTTTTGAGCATTATAAGTCTTCAGAGTTACCGCTGAGCCACTGGAGGCGTCATTAATTAGGACTATAGCTGTATAGCTTAAACATATAAACTTTTGAAATTTTTCATATGGTGGGTTCAGCGGATTTCACAATATAATGAATAATGCAGCAGTGTTGTGTTGGCTGTGTACCTCGTAAGTACTATTAATGTCACGTATGGTATCACTGAAAGATATATGCACAAGTGCAAAATTATCTCAGAAGCTTAGTGCCAAATCTTGTTAGAAGCGTAAGATGAAATATAACAGATTGGCTTGTGATTAAAATATTCTTAACAAACCCAGTTCAAATTTTTCCAATTATATACTTACACAAATAGCTTTCGAAGCATATATTTTTTATTTCATGAAAACCGTTCATCGAAAAGAATTACGGAATATTTACGGAATTTTCAAACTTTCAAAATTGGGATTTTATCATGAAGAAAGTAAGGATTTTGTTTGTTTGTTTGAAGCTAAGCACAAAGCTAAACAATGGGCTATCTGGTGGGCAGAGCACAGATAGCCCATTGTATTGCTTTGTGCTTAACTCCAAACAAGGCCCGGCATGGCCAGGGCACTCGACTCGTAAGCTGAGGGTCGCGGGTTCGAATCTCCGTCACACCAAACATGCTCGCCCTTTCCGCAGTCGGGGCGTTATAATGTGTCGGTCAATCCCATTATTCGTTGGTAAAAGAGTAGCTCAAGAGTTGGCGGTTGGTGGTGATGACTAGCTGCCTTCCTTCTAGTCTAAACTGCTAAATTAGGGACGGCTAGCGCAGATAGCCCTCGTGTAGCTTTGCGCGAAATTCAAAAAGAAACAAACTACAAACAAAACAAACTTTCTTTACTTTTTTATATCTTGTTGTTGTGATCCTTCGATAATTTATTGATGACCATTTATACTTATTCAGTTTTGTTGATATAACCCTTTTGTATATTTTCTACGGCTTTCATTTTCTTACCTTTGATAAAAATTATTTTGTTTCTAAATTATTCTACAAATCTCTTGTCTGGTTCTTGTAATACTTTATTTTTAAATCCACGTCTCTTTATTCTACCCTCCTGTTTCAATATTTTTATCTTCTTTAGTTTTCTGTAACTTTCTTCCTAATATTATTTAATTTTCCGTGTCTTTCTAAGTTGGGAGTGGCCTTGTGATTGGCGTGCTCAGACTGTGAATCTGAAGGTTCAAGGTTCGTTACCTCAAAAATACACTCCATACTTTGGGCCGTGGATGATCTATAAGAGTGGTTATCAAACGTTGCTATTCCGTTAGACAACAATAGCCCAAAAGCTCGTGCGAGATACTGTTGACTAGCTGTTTTCCTCATAGTCTTCAGCTCAAAATTTGGGATGGCTTTCTACAGATAGCCATTTGTGTAACTTTGTGAAAAACAACAACAACAAATAAACTTCATTTTTCTTTTTTTTAGTCAGTTCTCCATTGTTTTATCATTCCCAGCAAATTTTCTATCTTGCTCCAAGTATGTGTCATTATACTGTTGTAGCGTAATTATTTTGCTGGCAGGTTCTTTGAAATTATTTGGTGAAACTAATTTAATGTCCAGTCTACCTAACGATGATAAATTACTTTATTTCCTCCTATAACGTTTCTACAAACTTGAACACTTCCATAAATAGCTGTAGGCCTACGTTACAAATTACGTTAACTAGTGTAAAACAAATCAACTTATTTGAACAAAGTAACCGCAATAGCTAACACATTGACTGGTTCACTTTTAACAGCCCCCCAATGGCACAGCGGAATGTCTGCGGACTTACAACGCTAGAACCCGGTTTCAATACCCATGGTAGGCAGAGCACAGATAGCTCATTGTGTAGCTTTGTGCTTAATTTCAAACAAACAAACAAACACTTTTTACCGTGAAAATATTTTAAACTGTTTAACTAACCTAATGACACTTCAGGAAACATCATATTTATAATCTCCATTCCCATATACTAGAAAAATCTGACCTCACATCCTTCAAACTTTCTGGGCGTCCTACGTCCTTCAATTAACAAATTACAACGTTAAAAAGTATAGATTAGAACAATATTGAAGTTCAGTCTAGATTGTATTTTTAGGAAAATAATCACACTTCTGACACAAATGTTTCAAGGAATTCGGTCATTGGGCAAGTTCTTTTTGATTATTTGGCGAAAATAAAAAGTAAAGTTCAATCCATTTAATCATAACAATAGTATTTTATTCCTTGAAGTTCTAGAAGTTAGCTTAAAGAACGTTCACTGCAAGGCCTAAGTCCACAACGGTTTTATTTACTTGTTACTTCTCCTGTATTTCTGTTTCTTCTAGGTAGCACAAAATCAATGTTGACAAAACTGAACTAAGCGATAAATTGCCTGTCAGTAACAAATCACTTGCTTATCCGGTTCACCCACCGTAACAGTCTCACAAGTAATTCGAATCTAACTTGCGTTTATATTGTTCAAATCTTTTCCCATACTTTCAAAAAAGGTATATTCATTAAGCCACGCATTCATTACATGCATTCATTACATGACGTAAAACAAACAAACTCCCTTTACCCCCCCCCCCAAAAATACCTAAATTAAAAAACAACATAGCATACACCCTACAAAAATATTAATATTTTCATATCTCAAACTGTTCTTCGTGATATTCTTCCAAACATGCAAACATGAAATTTATTTGGCAATATCAGTTTTTTAAACTGCTTGATCTTTTGTCATATCAAAGATGTTTTTGTTTGTCTTCGATAATAAATAATAACAATAATATTTTAACTTATTAACAAAATTTATTCGGGTGACCAACAAATAAAATGTTTTGTTAGATTTTAACTATGCTGTTTGTTCTAATCAAATATTAAAAATGTTTAAAACCTTTTGACAGCTTTTTAAAAACTTTTAAGAGTACGTGAATGAATTTGGTAATTCGGAGATACATTCTCAGGATTCATGGTGTCTGGATCATTTTCAATCACACTGGAATGAGAAAAACAAGTAAAGTAAAAACAAAAAACTAATAGCATTTCCTTTACAGATTTGGAATTGTTGAAAACTGGGTGAAAAAAACAACGAGATAAATCACAGAACGTAAATATATGGAAAACTGGGAACATGATAAATGTTAACATTATCGTTAGCTTTGAGATTATTGTGTAACTTGCATTATTTAACGTGTTTTTATAGAAACTTATGTGGTGTTAATGACTGTAAGTAGATATAATTACATTTTAATTTACATCTGTTGTGTAATAAAAACGTTGGTATCTATTGTATTCTGTTCGTGAGGTGAGCGGCCATTCCTTACGCCCGAATTGGTTGAATCTTTCAATGACGTCATACACTGACTTCTACCCACTGGCAGCGTGTGAAGTCTGTATACTTTGTATGTCATACACTATTGCTTAGTAGAGTGTAGGTTACGAGTAGTTAGTTTGAATTATTTATTTTCTTCCTTCTCAGTTTTCAATACTAACTTTCATTATGGCATATCAGGGACCTGCTTATGGTCTTTCTCGAGAGTGCATGTTGAAGGTAAGTTCACGTGGTCTTTATTTGTGAGACTTTAATGTATTAAGACAAGTTTATTGTGTTTTACAACTTCTAACGAAAACTTATAGTTATACTGTCGATCCAACTTACTACTACGAGTGTGTGTTCTGCAAGATTTCGAGTTTTAGATTATAGTTACCTCGTGGGCGCTTCTGTTTCACTTGTGCAAGTTACATGTATATCAATAGGTTCTCAAATTGACATAATCCAACTCGAATTTTACACAATATCATAGTAGGAACCATAAATCAAATTTGGAATTTTGAATTGCTGTATTTTGTCTCTAAGTAATTCCAGATAAACCTGCACAAAAATTAGGTTATTTTACAAAAGTCTAGCCAGGTGAATTTACAGAGTTTGTAAAAGCTATACTTACAATTTCGAAACGAATTTATAGTTTTCCATAACTTGTAAATATTTAGCTGTATTTAAAATTTTTAACTATTAGATTGAATGTGCAACTTTCTTCAAAATGCTTATCTTTCTGGATTACTATATTGTATTTGTTGTTATGATTACCAAAATTGTTATTATTTCCATAATAATTTTTGATGTAAAGTAATAATAGTCGTATTTCTCATCACGTTGCTATAATGTTTCAGGAAATGTTTTATAAAATATATACATGCATGTTCTGAGTAGAGCTGAAAAAAATGCATATTGGTGGCCAGGAATGTGTCATTCATAGGAACAAGGCATTGGCTGCCTACCTGAGGATGCTAAAAATCATAATTGGCTCCATTGTTATTAAGATATTCTCCCCTTTTATGTATGTATGTGTGTGTTTCAGGTTTTCTAAGGTGTTGAAAGCTAGCAATTGAGACAATTTTAAAAATACGATAATTAATATATAGTTAATTAATCATAAAAAAGTATGCATTCAAAATTATGTAGTTTTGCTCTCTGATAATTAAAATTCTTAGGGAAAGACTTTTTTGGTAAAATCTCATAAATTTTTCAAATGATTTCTTGACCAGTTTATGATTAAAGAATGATATTAGTTTGCATGTACTTTCTGACTTATTATCACATGTTATTGGTATAAATAGTACATGAGTACAGTTTTTCAATCGCCCAAAATTTATCAAAGATATTAAGATGAAAAATTTGCTGTATTTGTGGATTAAGCAAGCTGAGAGAACCTTTGTTTGTGGTAAAGACATGATTTAGAAATAGAATTTAAGTGTCATAATTTTATTTATATTTTTTTACAACATTGTGTACAAGTCTTAGTTAATAGAATCACCTTTCTAAAGAATTAGATTGGAACTTTCAGAATTTAATCTTTTTAAGATACATGAACTACAAGAACAGGAGTTATGCTACAGCCAGATTTATCAATTTTTAAAGCATTATTAACTAATGTGTTTGTAATCGTTAAAGCTCAATGCACCTTTAAGTTTAGATGTTATATCTCATCTGCTGACTGAACTGAATTGAGTGTTTTCAGTTAAGTTTTTGTAAAAAAAAAAAAGATATATGACATGTTAAAAGCCTAGCATGTTGGAGTCAAATGATTCAATTTTCCATCCTTAATTGCACTTGAAGTGTAATTGATTTTGTTGCTTTATCACTTGCATATTTATAACAAGCTACTACATTTGATGTTCAAATGTAAATTTATGATTTAAATGCTGTCTTATGTCAACTCTCTCTCTTTACTAACTAATTACAGTAAGGATAAGGAATTGTTTATTTACAGTGTTGTTAGTAATCCATTATACAAAATAGTTTGATAAACTGTGAAACAGGAAAATTAATCTTTATAGTTGACTTCATTCTTTGTTTTTAATTAGTAAATAATAAAATATTATTTGATTTTTGCTTTTATATTGTTTTGAAAACTAGTTAATCTAGTTAATATTGTTATTTTTTCTTCCATTGGACATTGTGCTTTAAAAATACTGTAGAACACTTTTTATAACATGGATATTCATTTAAATACCAAAGATGTTGCAACATCCATACTGTTACTAATATATTAATAGTTTGATATTTGGAAATTAAAGGTAATATTAAAATTGTTTTTCTTTCAATAATATTTAAAATTTAAAAAATTACCATAATAGTAATACTGAATTATATTAGTGTTTGATAATTATTTTTATCGTAGGTTCAGAAACAAAAGTGAATATCAGTATGAGTTTTAACTTAGCTGCCTTAAATAATGTATGTGAATGGTAATTGTACCTTAGTTATAAAGAACATTGTACTGTTGCCAATAATTAAACTATAGCTTTAAAAATGCCAGTCATTTTTAGAACTCGCCTCTTTCAAAATCAAGAGTTTGTATAAAAGCTTTCTAAAAAAAGTAATACGTATGGTAGCATTTAAGTACAACAAAATGTTTTGGCTTTTATGAAACTTAGAGAATTTATACTAACATTTTAAACCATGATACACCAGTGACTTGCCACTACTCAAGATCAGTACCATTTTCATTAAATCTTGGTTAGCCACAATGCTTATAAAGTGATGAAAGTGCATTATTTTGCCCACTCTGCAAAACTTATTGTAACTTATTGTATTGGCCCACTGGTAATTCTAAGGGCTTATAAAACTAAAAATCTGGTTTTAATACTTGTGGTTGGCACAGCACAGATAGTCCTAATGTGTAGATTTGCTCTTAACAACATACATGCAAACTTGTGTTATTGTGAGTGTCTTAAATAACCAAAACATATGTTAAGAGATTTTATGGTATGGATATAAATAAAAGGCACATTGCAAAAAAAATAAAATTATTGGTGTGATGTAAATGTATGTGTACTCTGTTTAACTGAGTTCTTTTTTGGGTTATTACTTAAAGAGTAGGGCCAAATTTGATATGGATAAGGCTCTTCAAGTATTAGAATGGATTGAAAAAGTGACAGACCTGGAGCTTAATCCTCCCAACCCAGAGAGGGGCTTTGAAGACTTTGTGGATTTTTGTGATTGTTTGAAAGATGGCATGGCATTATGCAGGTACTTGTTATATCTTTTCTTTACCTTTTTAATAGAAATCTGTGAACCCTTTCTTCATCTAAAATTCTATTTGACTTTCTATAGTTGTATAAGAACACACAGGTGTCCAAAGGTTAAAATAATGCTTAAATAATTGGTATTCAGAAGCAAAGTTTAACAGATTTTTCCCAGTATGTCTTGACATTTACTGACCGTATTTTATTGTTGACATCTCATAAATGGAGTTCATTTTCTGTTTTATTTTTTATTAAAAATCATTAATAATCTTGGAATAGAATACCACTTGTATCAAGGTTTTTGTCTGATGTTATGTTTTCAATTAAGTCCTCATTAGTAGGAATAGAAGATCATGAATGTGATGTATCCTATCTTTATTTTTAGTATTGTCACTTATAATAACCTAGTAAATGGTGAATTATTGTGCAGAGATGCATCACATATGTTTATTGTCTCCTTTTCTAGTGAATTTTAATGAACAAAATCAACTTGGATGAAGTGAAAGTAATGAAAATGTGACTACTAAAGCTCATTTGTGTAATGATGTACATGCTATAGTAAGTTATAATAAATTAATATTGGATCTCTATGATTATAATTTCATATTCTGGAAATCAGAAACCCAGATTGCTTTCTTGCTTTTCACACCTGCTAGTCCATAAGGTTGCCATCACATCAATCATTTACCTATACAATTAGATCCAGAGAGTAAAATGTAAGTTATTGAATAACTAAAAAAAAATTGTGGGTATTGTCTCTTGTAGTTAATAATCTGGAGTGGTTAGAAAACTATGTTTAAGTGGATCAGACAGCTTTATAAATACAGAGTACATAATGACATTTGATGTTTTTATCATCCACCTTCACTTGAAATCAGTACGGTAAAAATATCAGGTTCATCTTATGTTTTGTACACTTTTCAGAAATAAAACTGCAGAATTGTTTTGTACAGTTGTAGTTTTTGTTGATTGTTAATTTAGTGGGCCAACCTCATAACTTTGTAACTTCTGTTGACCATACTTTGAAAAGAATTATAATATATATGAGCCATATTGTTACCTTATTGATAGCTTGTAACATAAATAAAAAAGTTAATGAAATAGGAATTAAAGCTTTGTTTCCTATATAAAAAATTTTCTATACATTGGTATGCACAGACACACACACACACACACACACACACACACACACACACACACACACACACA